CCTAAGCACTAACAGTCAATGCATACATGGCAGCAAGAATAGCCTCATAGTCAAGATCAAAGATAGGTACATCACGCCTAAGCAGGTCTGCCCAGTTGGGGAACTCAGTAGCATCAGGAAACTTGGCGCGCCAGGCGTCGCTAAGCCGAGCGAAGCAGCGCTGCTCAGTGTGAAACCCTGTGCACTGGCGACCAGCGCGGGGACCTGTGCGAATGATATAGGGGCAGCGACCAGGACCCCCAGAAGCCCCACGCCCGGCATACCAGTCAAGAAGCTGCTGGGAAGTAGGGGTCTGGCGCTGACGCTGCTGCTGCTGCTGCTGCTGCGACTGCTGCTGGCCCTGACCACCACTGCCACCACCACTCCCTCCTCCCTCACCGCCGCTGCTGCCACCTCTACCGCTCCCAGATCCTCCGCTGCCCCCACCACCACCTCCACCACCTCCACCCCCACGACCGCCTCCACCACCTCCACCCCCCCCGCCGCCTGCACCACCGCCACCTCCACCGCCACCCCCACCTCCCCTGCCACCCTTGCCGCCCCTGCCGCTGCGACGCTTCCCACTAGGAGCGGAAGCAGCCCCGACCTCCTCAGCACCAAGGTAGTCGTGAGCAGCAGCTGCGGAGGCGTAGGAGGGGGTGAGAGGGGAGGGGGAGCACCCCTCAAAGAGGGGAGAGCGAGGAGTGCCACGAGCAGCACCTACAGCGAGGATGTTCTTCTCCGCTGCGAGGAGGTGCTTCTCGAAGTCGTCGACAGTGAGAGTGGTGGGGTCTAGCGCTAGGAAGTGGTCCCTGACGGAGCTAAGAGTGTCAGGGAGGCGGGTGACGAGGAAATAGAGAGTGAAGTACATCGGGGGGGGGGGGTTTGCGGCGCAGAACTCGGCTGAAAGGGCGGCACGAAAGCGAGTGTCAGTAGCGCGCAGGTGGGAAATGAGGTCCTCAGCAGTGGTGAACGAGGAAAGGTCGGGGAACAGGTAGGGTAGCATGAGCCGACCTATGGCTGCAGTGGCCGGGGAGGAGTAGCGCGCAACTACAGCGTCGTACAGCGTCTTAGCAGTTTTGTGCTGGCTGAAATGCGCGCGCTCAGTAATCGGCAGATGGTTCCTAATAGCTAGGCGTGCAGCAGCATCGCGAGTCTGCCACTGCGAGCGTTCTAGAGCAGGAGCATCGGCAGCAGGAGCAACGGCAGTGCCAGACACGTAATCGAACAGTGAAACGCCCTCTTTGGCATCGGTCAGAAGGAACAGTTGGAGGTCGTCTAACCACACAGCGAACTCTATGGGGCGACCGTCAGGCTCGAACGCGAGAACGTTAGGCGTCGTTATAATGGCAGCAGGCAAAGGCAGTAGGCAGCAGGCAGCAGACAAGAGGCAGTAGGCACCAGGCCGCAAGCAAGGACAGAGGCAGCAGGCAGCAGGCAGGAGCCAGCAGGCAGTAGGCAGCAGGCAGTAGCGGCCGCACGCGAGCTCCTAAAGCAGCGCACTAGGCAGCAGCGGGCCGCGCAGGCGGCCGACGTGACGCGCGGGCGGCAGACGCGGCGCGCGGTGCGGCGGCGGGCCGCGCTGGCGACAGACGCGGCGCGCGGGGCGACGGCGGGCTGCACGCGACGGCGGGCTGCGCGCGGCGGCGGGCTGCGCGGGCTCGACGCGGGCTGCGCGGGCGACGCGGGCCGGCGCGCGGCTCTGCAGTAGTGGCGCGCGCGAAAAAGTGACGCGCGCGCGAGCAGCCGAGGCGCGCGCGAAAAAAAAAAGTGACGCACGCGCGCGAGCAGCCGAGGCGCGCGCGAGCAGCAGGCAAGGCAGGCAGGCAGTAGGTGAGGTAACACAGTTACGGGTGGGCCCTATTCTTAGGGTACATTCCGCTGTGGACCATGTCCCAATCGATGTGTCCCAATCGATTGTGACGCGTACGTACAGCATATGCTGCCAGGTGTCAGAATGCCGGGCCGCCCGTGGTTGTCGCCAAATGTATTTATCATTGGGTGACGTGAAACACGGAGCCGTCGCCAGCAAATTGCAACACAACCCATCAGTCGCACGCGGTGCCAAATGTCAACACATGCAGCATGTATCTAGACGACTTCTCCCCAAGCCCACTGTCCCCATCAACGCGTTCCATGCGTCGTGATTGGTCCAGACGACACAAACGGAATTATTGACAGGGACGCGCACGTCCCCGCCAGCGCGCCTTCCCCCAGTTCCAATGCTCCTTCCCCACAACTCCTCCACCTCCCAACACCTTACGGGTTCTTCCTCTTGCACCATCCTGCCTGTTCCAATCTGTTCATTTCTCTCTTCTCCCGCTTCCTACAGAACTAGATCTAGAAGCACTCTAAGCGCCAGCATGGCTCGTAAGCGTAAGGGGCAGGCCCTTACCGACTGCCCCAAGGATCTTAACGACATTCCTTACATCCGCTGGATGAACCAGCATTAGTCAGACTAATCGACTATACTATTTTCCCATATCCCCTATCACAGCTCCGCCGCCGCCGAACACCGCAACACCTAAGCGCGCACGGGTGCATGAGACGGCCACCATGCAAGCAGCCATGCTGGTCTCCGCGACCATCAAGGACTGTCACGGTGACGCGATGACGCGCATTGAGAGCCTCGTCCGTGAATGGATGGCGCAGGACATGCGACTTGCCCGCGAGCGCACGACCGAATCTGCGCCTCCGGACGTGCACCGTGCGCCGCCGGATTTCAGCCCTCCTCCGCCACGCGGGGAGTCCGCGCCACCTCCCGAAGCCCCACAGCATGGCGACGATGTTGGCGACGTCAACACCGTCACTCCGGGTGCGGAGGATGTGGAGATATGGGTGCGCGGCGCCGACGATTAGCGTAAGAGTCCTGTAGGGCCTCGCCCAGTCTTTTCCGCCTCTCTCTCAAAGCCTGTTGTGTTGGGGGGACACAGGGTTCCCACTCGTGTGTCGCAATGGCACCCCGTGTCCACCAAGGGTCGCGGTTGCGGGGCAGGTTGAACCAGGCCATGTTCATGCGCATCCTGCCTCGCGCATCATATGTGATTTGGAGCTGAACGGCGTAGGCCGACTTCCTTGTCCAGTACTCTGCCCTGTGCCCTTCCATCCCTTTCATGTGGATGTGAGTCCCGTCCACAGCTCCCACCACTGCAGGTACACCTTTGATGTCTGCGAATTCACGCGCCATCTCGGGCAGTTCATCGCGTGTGGGAAAGCGCACCCAGGCGGCCTTGAAGACTGAGGGGAACTGGGTGAGGAACACGTCGACAAGCTCGTGGCAGAGTGTCTTGGAGACACCGAACAGGTACGACATGTCGACGTATGATATCCCACTCGCCAAGTACTTTATTGGGATGAGCAGAGCAGTGTCCATTGTGACTATCGACCGATGGACGATGGGCTCTAGATATTGTCGCATCCCAGTCTTCACATGCTCAAGTATGGCGCGGTTGATCCGGAATATGTCTTGGAAATCATTCTCCCGCATTTGTTGCAGGTCTTCAACCCACAAAGCATGACGTCGCCGCCGTACACTCGCTCTGTGACGGCGGTTCTCCCCGCTGTCGCCACTGGACGATGAGGACTGCTCGTCCTCGTCCTCAAACACACCGGACTCTATGAGGCCTACGAAGGACTTGGCTACATTTTCGTAGAAAATGGTGTAGTAGTAGGTGACCCAGGCGACGAGGAGGCGTAGGATGAAGGGGATGGCTCTAGGCTCTGCCATCATCCGTAGGGATTACGCGTGTGTAGTAAATGTGTCTGTGCTATGGTTGATTATAAAATTACAGCAGTCGAGAAGGGGAGTTGCATATGTACGTGTTGTTGCCGCAATTATTGACACTGCGGATGAGTACTGTACCCTCCGCGGCCTCCCTGGACATCACCGAGGATCACCCGCGGACCTTTGGGTGTTGGAGAGTGTGCTGCGCAAGGACGAGTGGGCATGTTGATTCTCTGACCAATCACAGACGTTCGCACATAATTGTCGCCCCGTGTGTACAGAGTCGCAATGCATCGATCGATTGGGACATGCAAACTCGAAACATTTGAGCGCGACTCGGGCAAATCGTGATTGGGACACATCGATTGGGACATGGTCCACAGCGGAATGTACCCTTAGGTCATAGAGACCTCCTGCTCTAGATACCATGTCGAGACTAAGGTAAGAATGATGTCATTGGGTCAAGGTTGGGGTACAAAACTAGAGTGTCGAGAATGTTTCTGTACCCCCTGAGGCTAGCCCCAATAGAGCCTAGATAATAATATGCATATGTTTTGACAATACGTATGGCGGTGGTTAAATTTATCGCGCATGCCAGAGTGTACTGCCTGGCAAGACAAGTGGCGGCACGGAAGCACGGCGTGGCTGTTTGCAATGATGGCTGGAAGCATCTGGCAGCAGACGAGGCGGTTGTAATGAGGCGGATATGCAGCAAAGGGGCACCGCTGACGTGGAAGAGCAGCTTTAGTTCTATCTGGAACAACCCAAGGATGACTCATCAGCCACCGTAGGTCGCTATAGGGAATCTGCGGTACACGGTACTGCAGCTCTTCCCTCCCGACACAGTTATGACTGCCTGATGCGTTTTGTACATTATCCTTTTAGTGTACTTTTCCGTAGTTAAAAAAAAAAAAAAACCCATAAAAGGCGAAGGACTATAAATTACCCTAATAAAAGAGTGGGTTAGATGAGCTGCAAGGTAAATAGTTGGAGAAATACACTACCAAAAAACACCTCCCTAACGTGCTATGGTACTATTACTAGCTTTCACAAAAAGTAAGGGAAATTACGGTAATAATTTACCCAACCATTAACAAAAACTAAATGTCAAAATCAAATGCCAGGAGAGCACTCTCTGGAAGCATGTATATCATTACCATGCGACTGCTCTCCTTATCTCATTTCCCCCTGGCGACTGCCCCCTTCCCACCATCCCCGATCACCAGCCGAGCAATGAATTCCCCAACAAATTTCCCCAACAACACCTCATGGTACGTCAGCTCCTCAACCCCAACACCTAGCTATCACTCTCCTTGATCCCCTCCTCCCCACCATCACCACCAGCACCAGCACTGGCCTGCTCAGCCACAAACTCCACCACGCGCTTGGCCACCTCCTCGTCATACGCAGGGCCCTCGAGCCCAAAGTGCCCCACGTCCTCCACAATGCTCACCTTCGCCACGCCCACCGCCTTCCCCGCCTTCGTCTCGAGCGTCTTGGTGCTCGTGAACCCGTCCTTGGCGCCCATGATGAAGAGCTTGGGGCCCGGCCAGGTGAGCACATTGGCGTAGTGCGAGCCGAAGACGAGCGAGGAGAAGAAGCCGAATGTGTAGCCCACGCCCACGTACAGGTCGACCTGTGGGCAGTGTGGCAGGGCTGAACCCGCAATGGGCGCTCCTGCATGTGGAAAAGGGGTATGAGGAGGGGGGAGAGGATGGGAGAGAGGGTGGGTGTGAGGGGTCAGGGGAAACCGACGCCCACGTACAGGTCCACCTGCGGGCAGTGCGGCAGGACTGAACCCGCAATGGGTGCTCCTGCAGTTGGGGAGAGGAGGTTTGAGAGGAGGCGGAGGGAGGGGAAGAAGGAGGGAGAGGATGGGAGAGAAATAAGGGTGGTTGTGAGGGCCAGGGGAAGCCGATGACCTCGTATAGGTCCACCTGCGGGCAGTGTGGGCAGCGCCGAGCCAGCAGTGGGGTCTCCTGCGTGTGGGGGAGGGAGGAGGAGGGTGGGAGGAGGGCGGAAAGAGGAAGGGCGGGTAGTGGGGGCGGGAAGCGGGTGGAGGAAGGGGGGAAGAGGATGGGAGATAGGAGTGGGTGCGAGGGACATCTGAGTGCGGAATACGCCCCAGTGATGGAGAGATGCGGCACGGCCTGTAGGGTGAGGGCATGGTGGGGTGGTGCGATCACAGTGGGGTGGTGCGATCACAATGGGGTGGTGCGATCCAGTATCACTTTACATGCTAGCCTGTTTCATGCACCTGGGGTGTTTTGAAGCTGCACCACGCGCTTACCTGCGGACGACCACCACGCTCACCACTCCCTTACCTGCGCTCACCACGCGCTCAGCAGAACCACTCCCTCACCTGCGGACGACCCCACCAGCAATATGCGCTGGCCGTACTTCTCGCTCGCCCAGCGGCACACGGCCATCACGTCTGCCACCTCGGGCTCGCCCGTAAACGACGCGTGCCCCGTCGACTTGCCCGCGCCCCGCAGGTCGAACGTCACCACGCTGACGGGGTGTGGTGGGTGGGGTGTGTGAGTGAGGACGGGGGGGAGGAGGGGGGAAGGAAAGAAATGGCGATGAGAGACGTAACCAGCTGGCGGGTCGATTGGTTGACCTGCCCGCGCCCCTCAGGTCGAACGTCACCACGCTGACGGGTGTGAGGAATGCGGGTGTGAGGAAAGAGGGGAGGGGGGGGCGGGGGAGTGAGATGGCGATGAGGGAGGTAGTAACGGCTGACGGGCCGATTGCTTGGGCTTTCCCGCGCCCCTCAGGTCGAAAGTTACCACGCTGACGGGTGTGTGGAATGCGGGGTGTGGGGAAGTAGGGGAAGAAGGTAGCGAGGAAGGAAATCAGCTGGTCGGTTCGCTGGATGGTTTGTCTGCGCCCGTCCAATCAAACGCCGCCACAGTGAACCGTGGCGGAGGCTTCTGAGGCGCCTCGAATGGCGCAGAGTTCAGGCAGCGAGCAGTTGGTGGCGCGCGAGGGAGCGAGGAGAGGAGATACGGAAGGAGGGGATATAAGGAAGGGAGGAGAGGAGGGGAGGCGGACCTACATTGTAACACCGCGTGCGGTAACGAGCTTACATTAAGATTTCGCGTGGTAATCCGAGCGAATAATCTCTCCTCTCGTTCATCCCGCGCCTAACTCGCTTCCCTAAAACACAAACGTTTGGCTAGTTGGGTCTGCCTAGTCGAGCGCGGACGCCGACTGAGCACGGATGCCCTGATGCCATCTGAGCACGTCAGCAGTGTCATCGGCTGTAACGGGTATGCCGAACGTTTCGACACACCTCCATAATGGATTGTGCATAATATGTAGCTTATCTAAGAAAGCGTTTTGTAAACCTCTGGTACGCACTAAAACCCGCGCGCAGCCAACGGCATTCCGCAACCGCCTCCTGCAGCGCGTCGCCGTCAGCAGCAACGCCTGCTACTGATTCAGCCTCAGGCGGCTCCAAGGAAAATGGAAACTCACTTAAACCCGCGCAGACACAGGTACTCGGCCAGCCCCTGCGTAACGAACTGCGAGCCGCCCATGCGCGAGTAGGGATGCACGATCACCGCCAGCAGCGCCTGCTTCTGCTGCTGCTCGTTGTCCCCGTCGAAGCTCGGCCGCGCCGGCCATGTCTTGACGCACAGAAGCACGTTGTCCGTGCTCGCTACCTCGTGCTGCTCCTGCTTCATTCTGGGATGTGACTCTAACGAGAGTAACAATGAGTTAAATTAAGAGTACGCTCCACGACAACAGAGCTCGTCGACCTATGAGTTGAATGTACTTTGCAAAGTACGAGGCCGAAGGCGAGACTCTACTCGTAATATCACTTGTAATATCACTTCGTAATACAGCAGTGGTGATGTTTTTGAGCTCCACGTGCGGAAGTCTGCCTCAAGTGATGAAGCAAAATGGGGCACGCGGAGTAGGAGAGGCGATGAAGCAAGGGGCACAGCGGGGAACCAAACCAAAGCCAGATTTTGCGTTGCTTGTGATGGGAGTGACAGGTTGCTCAATAAAATCCACTGACGACTGGCGTCGCGAGCCAATCAACGGTTCACCGAATATCTGAAGCAGTTTTAAAATCTCCGTTAGCCAATTCTAAGAATTGTTCACTCGATTGCTCATAATAAGGCAATACGAATTAAATTCGACTTTTCACACTTGAACTTAGTTCGACCTGTAGTAGAGTATTACAACATTCGAATGTCGAGCCGCGTGACCAACTTTCAAGTTAAGCACATGTGACATCGAATGGTCGACTATCAAAGACCTACTTTCTACAGCATTTCTCGCGTCGCGTACAGTACTCGTAGGTTACCCGGTTTGGATTCGTATGTCAAGAATGAAAGTGTTGGTTTGACTAAGGTTCGTTGGGGTACATAAACCTAACCCTAATAGTTGTACCCCCTATAACACACATCACTAAGACTACAACATTTGACACACCCCCATAGTCTAAGTGAGGGGTGTTAAGCAAAACTAAAAGTGTACGGTCACAAGACCAGTCACAAAGAAACAAAGCTCAGGGTGGATCACAACGTCACCACACACTCCGAGCACAAGCAAAAGAGCCACAAGGCCAGTTCAAGAGTTCACAGAGGTATATATAAAGCGTAAAAACAAAGCAAGCAGAGAACTTAAGACTACGCAATGCGAGAACCTGTGTCAACGAGACCTAACTGCACACAACACCTCTGGTGGTCACAAGGCGGAAGCGCCTTGGTGAAGATGTCTGCAGTGTTGGCCTCGGACTCCACAAAGTCGAAGCGAGCCTGTCCACGCCTCTGCAACTCTCGCAGAAGAAAGTACCTGACGTTGATGTGCTTCACTCTGCTCTCCAGTCGCGGCTCTCGACAGAGGAGAATCGACGCCTTGTTGTCAGTGAACAAGGTCGGTGCAGAGCTCGGCCGCTCACCAAGGTCGGTGAGCAAGAAGGTCAACCAACACAGCTCCTGTGCAGCCATGGCTCCAGCGTAGATCTCGGCCTCAGCAGTAGAGGTCGAGACCGAGGAGGAACGCGTGGACCTCCACGAAACAGCTCCAGAGCCCAGGCTGAAGCAGTACCCCTGAGTAGACCTGTGAGTCTCGGCGTCGTCAGCGTAAGAAGAGTCACAGTGTCCAGTAAGTACAACAGACTGCTGCCCTCCAAGAACCAGCCCCACGCCTGATGTCGTCGCTAGGTACTTCGCCACCCTCACAGCAGCTGTCCAGTGAACTGGACGGTGTCTCCCTGACGCAACAAAGCGAGCAAGGATGCTGAGAGGGAAGGCGAGGTCCGGGCGAGTACAAGTCATCAGGTACATGAGGCAGACCACAAGCTCTGCATAAGGACCACTAGGCTCAAACGGCTCGTCAGGGAAGGGTCCGGTGAGTCTGTGATCAACAGCAAGAGGTGTGCGCTGTACTGTGGAGTGCTGAAGCTCGAACCGCTGAAGGACCTGCTGCACCATGTGTGACTGTGAGAGTGTAATGGTGCGAGCGGCTCTGTCCCTGGTGATCTGCAGGCCAAGGTAGTGGCGCAGCTCACCAAGGTCGGTGCACGTGTGTCTATTCTGCAGTTCGCGCTTCACGTCAGCCAAAGCAACCCTGTCAGCAGTGGCGAAAACCAGGTCGTCGACGTAGACCAGTACAAAGAACGGTGTGGAGCCACGCCGAACAAACAGCGACGGGTCGGCAGAAGACGGCTGGAAACCCAGGTCAGACAGGGTAGAACGAAGGGTGTCGTGCCACTCACGAGGAGCCTGACGGAGACCGTAGACCGGTCGCCTCAGCCTCCACTGGGTCCCAGGAGGGAAGGTGCTAGTGAAGGCAGAGGGACGACGCAGCCAGACCTCCTCGTGTAGGCTACCCTGAAGGAAAGCAGTAGAGAAGTCGAGAGAGTGTAACTCGTAGTCTCTCTGTGCTGCTACGTGCAGTAACACCCGAAGAGTGGTCATCTTCGGGGTAGGCGCGAAGGTCTGAAAGAAGTCAACTCCCTCGCGCTGACTGAAACCTCTAGCCACATAGCGCGCCTTGAAGACCGGAGGAGATCCCGGTGGCCGCTTCACCCTGAAGATCCACATGCCATCGACTACGTTCGCCCCAGGGGGGGGAACCTCGTCGACGTAAGTGCCTGTGGATCTGTAGGAGGCCATCTTTGAGTCCATGGCAGCTCTCCACTGAGAGGCCCAAGGCCCTGACACTGCCTCAGCGTAAGTGCGAGGAGTCGGTATGTCAAGGGCGTCGGGGTCTCCCTCAGGGGAGAGCAGCATGGCACAGAGATGAGGGGAAGCGGCTGCCAGGAAATCTAGCTCAAACTGCCTATCCTCTAGGGCGTCACAGCCAAGGGCAGACTCACCCCCGACGGCCAGAGGACTGGTAGGAGGAGCAGCCACAAGACTGGTGGCGTAGTCAAGGCGGCGAGTAGAGGCAAAATGAGTGACTGCGGCAGTAAGAGCGGAGACAGAGGACAGAGAAGGACGTGGGTCGGTAACAAGAGAGGCGAGAACACGAGAGAGAACAGGCCGGTACGTGCGGTAGTAGTCCGTGACAGGAGTAGAGAGGGAAGCAGTGAGAGCCGACTCAGGAGGAGAAGGAAGTACAGAAGGAGACGAACGAGGCGGACTAGAACGAAACAGGGTAGTACGAAGGTCAGAGAAGGGAACAGGGGACGAGGGACGAGCACGAGGAGAGCGACGCGAAGGCCAAGTGTGAGAAAGAGGAGGGGACAACGGAGGCAGAGAAGGAGGGGAAACAACTGGGGAGGGGTTAGGAGGAGGAAGCGGAGGACCAGAGACGGGAGGAGAGGGGGAGGAGGGAGGAGAGGGAGAGGGGAGACCGAGGGTCCGAAGACCAGAGACAGGAGGAGGAGGTGGCGGCTGCTGCTGCTGCTCCAGCTGCGGCGGCTGCGACTGCTGCTCCTCCAGCTGCGGCGGCTGCTGCTGCTCCTGCTGCTGCGGCTGCTGCTGCGGCTGCTCCTGCTCCGGCTGCTGCTGCTCCTGCTGCTCCTCCAGCCGCTGTAGCTCCAGCTGCTGCCGCTCCAACTCTCTCTCCTCTCGCTCCAACTCCAGCTGCTCCTCACGGGCACGGCGAACACGGGCCTGGTGCCGGGTCGGGTAGGGGTGGGGGGGAGGAGTAGTATCGGGAGCGGTGATAGCCCCAGGACCGCTCTCCAAAGAACCAGTCGCACCACCCCCAGAGTCAGCACCACCAGAAGTAACAGGGCCCGTCCCAGGCTCTCCAGGTCCAGCAGAGGGTGCACCCCCAGTCGTAGCACCCCCAGGGACAGCTCCACTAACACCAGCTCCCCGAAGACTAGAGTCTCCTGCAGTCACGGGCTCAGCTCCAACTCCAGCACCCCCAGAACCAGGACCTACAGGATCCCACATGATCCTAACCTAGGTGATACCATGTCAAGAATGAAAGTGTTGGTTTGACTAAGGTTGGTTGGGGTACATATATCACTAAGACTACAACATTTGACATCGTATAGCAAAAAAAAGGTTCGGTAGTACGCACGGCGAACTTTGTCAATGTCGCTGATTTCGCAGCATCTGCAAACGCGTGCTGAAGAACACACGTTTGCAAAAACATGCGGGCGCATATTCGAACATAAAGTCGACTAGTGTTCAGTGTCCATGTTCGTTTCTTTCTGTTGGCGCAGTTTTAGCGAACATCGCAACCCCTTTAGGCGAGATTGACGAAACAGGTAACCACTTAAATGTTAGAATATATTTATATACATTCTTTATAACTGTCTGCAGTATAGACTGTTGTGTATCTTATTTGTTGTAGGTGGTGTACCATGTGACTTTCTCCTTGCTACATCGCGAATTTGGCGGGTGTGGGAAACATGTTGGGAACTAGTTGCTGCCGAGAAGTTTTCGACCCTGGCGTTTTCCCGCGATTTGCGATTGGTTTCCGACACATTTGTCAAGTAGCGATCGACTGGTGCAGAGAAATTCTCCCAAGCCCTCTGAGTTGGTTCGGGAAATTCGAGCGAACACGCGCAGGACAACTGGCGCGTCAAGATGTCAAACTTATATGCTGATTATTCTGTAGGCTGTAGTGGGGTAGCCCATATGGGGTACAACCCAATTAGGGTTTCCTACTTGTACCCACCTTGCTGCTAGTTCAATACATTCTCGTTCATTATTCTGACATGGTTTCAGAGCAGGTCCTAGCCTAGGACCGGTTTCTTAGGGCCCACCGAGTAGCGCTACCCCACCCGTCGCGCCGCTGTGATCGCGCCGCCCTGCCCTGCCCTGCCCTGCGTCGCGCAGCCTGCGCACGCTCTGCCTTACCCACGCGCCGCCCGCCGCAGCGCGCACTGCTTTGCCCGCGCGCCGCTCGCTGCAGCGCGCCCTGCTGACTGGCGCGCCGCCTGCTGCAGCGCGCTCTGCCCTGCCCGCGCGCCGCGCCACTGCGCACGCCCTGCTTGAGCGCCGCGCCGCCGCGTCGCCCTGCTCGCGCGCCGCCCGCGCCACGCGCGCCGCCCTGCCTGCGCATCGCGCCGCCGCAGCGCGCGCTGTCCTGCCCGCGCGCAGCCCGCGCCGAGCGCCCTGCCCTGCCCGCGCGCCACACCGCCGCGCGCCCTGCCCTGCCCGCGCGCCGCGCCGCTGCGAGCCCTGCACTGCCCGCGCGCCGCGCCGCGCGCCCTGCTCTGCCTGCGAGCCGCGCCGCCGCGCGCCCTGCCCTGCCCGCGCGCTGC